AAAAAAAAAAAAAAAAAAATTTAATTTTTTACTGTTTTTGCCATAGACTCATTTTTGAAAAAAATGAGAATTTTTCTTTGTCATACATGAATAAAATACTACTAATAGAATATTTCCTTCCAGTCTTTCTATGCTTAGATTTAGTGGTTTTTATTTAATTATGAAATTTTGTACATAAATTTGCCTCCTGCCTTTTATTACTTTATTAGGTATGTCTTTATCCATTTTTTTTCTTTTTTTGAGTAGGAGCCTCACTCTCTCACCCAGGCTGGAGGGCAGTGGCACACTCACGGCCACCACAGCCTTCACCCGCTGGGCTAAGGCAGTCCTTCTGCCTCAGCCTTCCAAGTAGCTAGAACTACAGGAGCGTGCTATCATGCCCAGCTAATTTTTTTGATTTGTTGTAGAATCAAGGTCTCACCAAGTTGCCCAGGCTGGTCTCGAACCCCTGAACTCAGGCAATCCTTTCACCTCTACCTCCCAAAGTGCTAGGATTATAGGCATAAGCCACCATGCCCAGCAATCCATGTTATTTTGAACTCCTTATAGCCAAGTTTTAGTAGCTGCATGTTATCAGCTACTCCTGTCCACTCAGCTCTGGTGTTTCCAGCTGTTGGACACTTACGTTTCCATCTGGGGGTTGTAATTGCTGTTTCATATATTGAGGTGAACGTTTGTGTATAAAGCATGCTCTCTTCCATCATGTGACTTTACCATTCATGCTCAATATTATACTTATTCATGAATGTCCATGTTCTGCTAAGCAGGGGCATTTGTATAGATAACTGTGTTAATATTTCTGCTCCTACACCATTTTTTGTCTTCTTATTGATATATATTGTACATATTTGGGCGTCCCTTTGATATTTGATATATGTATATAGTGTATGATGATCAAATCAGAGTACTGGGATATCCATCACATCAAACATGGATCTTCCTTTGTGTTGAGAAGCTTACACCTTGTCAGTCCAGTCCTCTCTTCTGCACTGGTTTTATGGCATTATTTAGTATACTACATGACCTCTCATCTTTTTTTCCATGGTTTTTTTCATTTTTCATAGTTTTGCAGCAACTCCTAAGTTGAATCTTCCTGGTAATTACAGCTCACACTTATCTTTTCTCTCTTCATGTCATTTTACATTTGTGACATTGTACATTCAGATTTACAATTCCAGTACTCAAACAGTTGCTGGTCAGGCGCTGTGGCTCACGCCTGAATCCTAGCTCTTTGGGAGGCTAAGGCGGGAGGATTGCATGAAGCCAGGAGTTTGAGACCAATCTGGGCAACATAGTGAGACCCTGTCTCTACCCCCCAAAAAACCAAAAAACAGTTACTTATTTTTTTGACAATGACTAAGGTACATTGTTTAATTTGATGATAATACATGTTTGTTATAAAACATTCAAACAGTATATAAGTATGTAAATACCAGAAAGTGAAAAACATAATACTTCTCTTCCCCTGATCCTACAAGATAACTACTGTTGGCAGTTTTGTGTATATCCTCCAAGACTTTTAAAAATCTGTCTGCCAGGCATGGTGGCTCACGCCTGTAATCCCAACACCTTGGGAGATGGTGGTGAGAGAATTATCTGAGCCCAGGGGTTCGAGGACCAGCCTAGGTGACTTTGCAAGACCTACAGTAAACCAAAAATTAGCCAGGCATGGTAGTACATGCCTGTAGTTCCAGCTACTTGGAAGTCTGAGGCAGAAGGATCACCTGAGCCCAGCAGGTCGAGGCTGTTTTCAGCCTGGGTGATGGAGTGAGACTCCAACTCAAAAAAAAAAAAAAAAAAAGAATATATGGCAATTAAGACAACATGCTATTGATAGATAAACATTTTTTTTTGTCCAGCTGATTTTTTGAACCCCTGAGTTCAGGCAATCCTCTTGCCTCCGCCTCTCAAAATGTTGAGATTACGGCACAAACCACCATACCCGACCATGGCCATATATTATTTCTATTATATTAATGGTACATACATGTATATTTTTAATACAGTTTATTTAGAAAATAAATTGGAGAGAGCAAGAAAGAGGGGATTCACCTCCCCAAGGGAGGGGCGGGGACCAAAGCTTAGAAAAACATGGCCTGGCCATAGCTCAAAGAGCACATGGCCACACCATAGCTTAGCAAGGAGATGACCCATAAATTTTTTTTTTTTGAGTTGGAGTCTCACTCTGTCACCCAGGCTAGAGCACAGTGGCATGCTCAAGTATTAGATCTTTATAATCATTACATTAAATATTCATTTATTCAATAAATATGTGTTGATCAGGAACAGCTAGTGAGGCAGAGAAGAACCAGGAGGTTGTGCTGCTGGCCTGAAAGCCCAGCATAGACAGTGTTTCAAGGAGGGAGTGGTCCTTGATGGCCTGGATGCCCAGTGTATAATGTGTTTCAAGGAGTGGGTTGGTCCTCAGTGACCTGGAAGCCCAGTGTAGAGAGTACTTCAAGGAGGCGGTGGTCATCAGTGGCCTGGGAGCCCCATATAGAGAATCCTTCAAGGAGGGAGTGGTCCTTGGTGGCAGGCTGCTGAGAGATCAGGTGAAACGAGAACAGAGGCTTGACCACTGAATTTTGCAAAATGGAGGTCACTGACCTTGAACCAAGTAGTTGCAGTGAAGCAGGGGAGAGGTAAGGCTGACTGGAGTGAGGTCAAGAGAGACAGGGGACAAAGCAGAGAAATGATCATGAACTCTTTCCAGGAGTTTTGTGTGAAGGAGAGTGGGGTCTCCGAGGAGAAGGGGACTTTGAGGAGGGCATCTGTTGAGGTGGCAGATGGCTAGCATGATTGCACATTCACGGGTGTGGTCCAGTAGAGAGAAGAAAACTGGTGACACACAAGAGAAAAGATAATGACAAGATGGTAACACCCAGTGCCACTGTGGAGGGAAGGCTGACCTTATAATTTACAAGGACGTTCAATCACTGAAACAGGAGAAAAGGCAGAAACACAGGTACAAGAGGTTAACAAGTTTGGAGGTAGGAAATGAGTTTCGTTTTGTTTTTTCAGAGTCGGGGTCTTGCTTTGTTGCCCCGGCTGGACTGGAGTTCCTGGGCTCAAGCAATCTTTCTACCTCGGCCTCTACAAGTAGCTGGGACTGTAGACATCTGGTACCTCATCTGGCTAGAAAATGAGTTTTTATTGAATTGCTTCTATTTTCTCAGTGAAATAAAATTATTAGCTTGAGAGTTGGATAGGGAGGCATTAGAATTTGGGGAGAAAGGAGAAAGTGTGACTAGTCATTGCAAAGGAAAAACCAGAAAAGTAAATAAGTAGAAAAAGGATAGCACCAGATTTGTGTTCAGAACCGTTGTTTTTCTCTCCATAATGATGGAGAAAGAATTAGATGGTTAATAATTAGAAGATGACAGAACGAGCCAGACTTACATTTTTAAACTATCATGCATCTTTCTTTGATTCTTAGCCACCTCAGATCCTAATTTCCTCTATACACTGATGTCGGAGCCTTTTCTAATTCTTCCTGAATACATGTCCAAAACCTTCCCAGTGCTGTGTTTCTTATAATTCCAGTGCTTTGGGTATTTTAAAGTAGCTTATCTTCACAAATTGCATGAAATTATGTCATTATAAACCTCAATTTACCTTATTTTAAATAGTGATACATTTAGTATGATCTTGGTAATAGAAAGAAAATGCTGGCACAGGCTAGGCGCAGTAGCTCCTACCTACAATTCTAGCACTTCGGGAGGCCAAGGTAGGAGGATTGCTTGGGGTCCAGAGTTCGAGACCAGCTTGGGCAACATAACAAGAACTTGTCTCTACAAAAAAAAATTTAAAAATTAGCCTGGAATGGTGGCATGTGCCTGTAGTTCCAGCTGCTTGGGAGCCTGAGGTGGAGGATCACCTGAGCCCATGTTGAGGCTTTGGGGAGCTGTGATCCAGTCACTATACTCCAGCCTGGGCAACAGAGTGGGACTCCAACTCAAAAAATTTTTCAAAAAGGAAAAGAAAAAGAAAATGCTGTCACAGTTGTTCCTTATTTGTATTTCCTCTATTTCTAATTTTCCATGTTTGTATTCACTGCAGTTGAGTAAATTAACTCCCTCTAAATTAAGTGCTATGAGAGAATCAAAACTGGTGTTTACCAGTGGGAGGAGCTCAAAGTTTTTTTGTTTGTTTTTTAAATCGGAGTCTTATTCTGTCGCCTGGGCTAGAGTGCAGTGGCATGCTCACGGCCACTGCAGCCTCTACCTGCTGGGCTCAGGTGATCTTCCACCTCAGCCTTCCAAGTAGCTGGAACCACAGGTATGCGCCACCATGCCCAGCTAAATTTTTTTTATTTATTGTAGAGACGAGGTCTCACTAAGTTTCTCAGGCTGGTCTTGAACCCCTGGACTCAGGCGGTCCTCTCATCTCGGCCTCCCATAGTGCTGGGATTATTGTATCCAGCTGGAACTCAAAGTTTTAGAGGAAAACACTTAGCTCATCATTAGGGATCTCTACGACTATATTTTTCCCAGGCAGCTTTAAGACCCAGCTTACTCCCTATAATTGTTCCATAACTAAGTTATTAGATATTGGTTTGTTAATTTAAAAAATCATTTTGATGAGGTTGTAAATTAAAATTGGTTTGAATTTTCTAAAGGACAATTTGGGAATATGTATTTTAAATTAACCCACCCAATTATGTGTTCCTGAAGTCCAAAATTTCTTTTTCATTTTTATTAAAGTTGAGTTCATTTATCCCAATATATGCATAACTAAATTTACCTCTGCATCTTTCTCCTAGAAATTTACGCAAATGACATAAATGTGTATATGTGTATGTGAGTACACACGCACACATTGTGGTGCTATTTATATTGTCTAAAAATTTAAAATAATCCAAATGTCCTTCAGTATGGGTTGGCTAAATTATTTTAACTATACTGTGGTGTATACTGTATACACATTTATTTATTTATTTTTGAGTCAGAGTCTCACTCTGTCACCCAGGCTGGAGTGCAGTGGCATGCTCACAGTAACTGCAGCCTCAACCTGTTAGGATCAGGTGATCCTTCCACTTCAGCCGTCCAAGTAGCTGGAACCACAGGCATGTACCCCATGCCTGGCTAATTTTTTTGATTTACTGTAGAGATAGATGAGAACTTGCCAAATTTCCCAGGCTTGGTCTCGAACCCCTGGACTTGGGCAATCTTCTCGCCTCCACGTTCCAAAGTGCTGGGATTACAGACGTGAGCCACCATGCTTGACAATATGTTTACATCTTGAGGTCCTACTTTGTGTTCCTAAGTGTCTCTGTCATCTTAGTATTTTACTGTAACTCTATGAGTATATGCTTGAAGATGTCTGTAGCATTGGCTCATGCTTGGTTTTCTTTCCACAGAGACGTGAGACTACTTAGCACCACTTAAGTCACCTTCCCTTTATCTTTTCATTTATTAAATTCTGTGTTTTCTACTTTTCATGTTTTCCAGGTGGTTGTCCAAATGCCAACCCAGTCCAGGCTTCAATAGCAACATTTTTTCGTTCCTTCAGCGAAGAGTGGAGAACGGAGACCAGCTGTATCAGTACTGTGCATTGACAATAAAAGATGTCTCTCTCAAGCAGCAGCTTCAGTGGGATCCCAGCAGTCACAGTCTGCAAGGGTTCATGGACTTTGGTCTTGGAAAACTCGATGCTGATGAAGCACCACTTGCTTCTGAGACGATCTTGCTCATGGCAGTGGGTATTTTTGGTCACTGGAGGATGCCTCTCGGTTACTTCTTTGTCAACAGAGCATCTGGATGTTTGCAAGCTCAGCTACTGCGTCTGGCAATTGGCAAGCTGAGTGACACAGGGGTCACAGTGCTAGCTGTCACTTCGGACGCCACTGCTCACAGTGTGCAGATGGCTAGAGCTCTGGGGATTCACCTTGACGAGGACAGCATGAAGTGCACGTTCCAGCACCCGTCGGCCTCCGGCCAGCAGATCGCATACTTCTTCGATTCCTGCCACCTGCTGAGACTCGTAAGAAACACATTTCAGAGTCTGCAGACCATTCAGTTTCTCCACGGCACAGCACACTGGCAGCATCTGGTGGATTTAGCAGCGCTGGAGGAGCAAGAATTAGCAGGTAGGGAGAGGAGCCCATGCAAGCTCATCAGTTTGAAAAGTCACGTGCTGAAAGTGAACTGTGCAGCCCAGCTCTTCAGCGAGAGTGTAGCCCGTGCATTAGAACACTTGCTGTCCACAGGCCTGCCTTCTTTTCAAAAATGTATGGGTACCACTTATTTTTTACGCTTAATTAGCAATCTGTTTGACATTTGTAACAGTAGGAACCGTTATGGAAAGAGACTTAAAGGGCCTCTATCACCTGAAACATACAGTAAAATAAATCACGTGTTAATTGAAGCCAAGACTATTTTTGTTACTTTATCCGACACTAGCAATAATCAAATCATTAAAGGTAAACAGAAACTGGGATTCCTGGGATTTTTGCTTAATGCCGAAAGCTTAAAATGGCTCTACCAAAATTATGTTGTCCCAAAGGTCGTGCCTCTTCCTTATCTTCTGACTTACAAGTTCAGTCAAGATCATCTGGAATTATTTCTGAAGATGCTTAGGCAGGCATCAGTACCCAGTTCCAGCCCTACCTGCATGGCATTCCAGAAAGCCTACCATAATTTGGAGACTAGGTGCCAATTTCAAGATGAAGTTTTTCTAAGTGAAGCAAGCATCTTTGACATTTCACTTGCTCGAAGGAAAGACTTGGCCCTCTGGACAGTCCAGCATCAGTATGGTGTCAACATCACAAAGACACTCTTTCACAAAGAGGATATTTACCAAGACTGGCCTAATTGTTCACTAAGTGAGGCATTACTAGACCTGTCAGATCATAGGCGGAATCTTACCAATTACGCTGGTTATGTTGCAAATAAATTATCAGCGCTTTTAATTTGTGAAGACTGCATTACTGCACTGTATGCTTCGAACCTCAAAGCCTCTAAAATTGGGTCATTGTTACGTGTTAAAAAGAAAAATGGTTTGCATTTTCCTTCAGAAAGTCTATGTCGGGTTATAAATATTTGTGAGCAAGTTGTAAAAACCTATTCAAGAATGGCAGTTTTTGAACTAGTTCCTAAGCAGAGGGAATTGTATTTTCAACAGAAAATATTATGTGAGCTTTCTGGGCATCTGAGTCATCTTTTTGCAGATTTAGATGAGCATCTGTTTGATGGAGAAGTGTGTGCCATCAATCACTTTGTCAAGTTGTTGAAGGATATAATAATCTGTTTCTTAGATATCAGCACTAAACGTGTAGTGCAGTACCCCTTGAAACACCATTCAGAAAGAATTGAAATGAAAACCTTATCAAGGAAACTTTGGTCATCTTTACAGGATTACAGATGTTCAACTGTTGCTCATACCAGTTCATTCAGGAACCCACTAATTAACAATGAGAGACCCAAAATATGTTAACATTTTTATTAAGACTACTTGATCACCTTTGTTTTTGAAGTTCAGTTTGCCATATTTCATAAATTGATCATTCTGCACAGTGGACAGATTTGCAATTCTGACTTCATAGAATTTCTAATTACGCGCATTATAAAATCTCCTTAAACTTTTGGTATGACTTGCAGCATTTAGGAGTTTTCCAACAATAGGAGCAGACTAGGCACAAGGCTGCTGTCTTTGAATTTACTACTGTGAGACTGGGTAATGTGACTGGACATGTTTTCAACTCATTCGGTCTGCTTTAAAAACAAGACCAAAACTAGGAGTTACCAAAACGTTGACTCCTGTTATGAACATACCATATTTCCTAAGAGCTTTGGTTCATAATTCTTAAGAATGTTGACAATACCTATGAAACCGTGAATATAATTTTTATTTAAATATGACAGTTAAGTTGTAGCTTAAAGTTAGACTAAAGCAAAATATTAAATACTGCAAAAAAGAAAAAAGAAAAAACCCTGTCCCAGCGTACCCTAAAATGGATGTGCTTAAGCTCTGTCAGGCAAAAGGTGAAGTGCTTGAGCTATGAGACCACTCCTCAGGCTGCAACCAGGCTGGGCAGTGCAGTCTGGAAAGAACATGGGTGATGTGATTGTCACATCCACTGTCCCTGGACTTTGAAATACTACTTTTGGATACTTAAGTTTGTTGGAAGAGCCCAGTGCTCATCACAAGAGAGCAAGGAGCCTTTATGTCCACTTCACTCATTCTGAAGTCTCCCTGTGCTTGCAGAGGCTAAAATAGTGAAACATGTATTCAGTGTTGGGTGAATAAATACCAGATGATGTAATTCACATATTGGAAAAAGATAATACTCTGTTTCTTAAATGTCAGCGCTAAACATGTAGCTCAGTACCTTTAAAACAGCATTCAGAAAGAATTGAGGTGAAAACCTGATCCAGGAAACACTGGTCGTCTTTACAGGATTATGGATATTCAAGTATTGCTCATACATTCAGACATTGACCAAGTAACAGTGGATGTCCATTCAAATGAGAGACCTAAAAAATACCATCAATGAGCCGGGCTCGGTGGCTCAGCCTGTAATCCCAGCACTTTGGGAGGCTGAGGTGAGTGGATTGCCTGAGCCCACGGGTTCAAGACCCACCTGGGCAACTTGGTGAGACCTCATCTCTACAATAAAATAAAAAAAATTAGCTGGGCGTGGTAGCGCGTGCCTGTAGTTCCAGCTACTTGGAAGGCTGAAGCAGAGGGATCGCCGGCGCCCAGCAGGTTGAGGCTGCGGTGGCCAGGAGCGGCCACTGCACTCCAGTCTGGGTGACAGAGTGAGACTCCAACTCAAAAAAAAAAAAAAAAATCAATGAAGACAATGGGTATGAAAAAATGTGTTAACTATATGTATGTTTGTTGCAGAAGTTTAGTAGAATTTTAAATAATCTGAAGATGGAACCAAACTCAGGACTGTTTTCCCCTTTCGCTCGTCCACGTTGAAAAGATAGAAAAACCACACATACACACAAAAAGAAAGAAAAATCTAGGTACATATACTATCACAAACGGGGGTACTGCAGTGGCTAGGACAAGAAACACAAGCACATTATTCATCTGTGTGTAGAACGTCTCTTTTTTATCATTGAATGTTTACAAAAAATAGTTAATCTTGATATAAAACAAAGTTGTAAAGGATTGGTGATGAGGTGTAGTAATTAAAATTCCCCTTTAAAACTATATTTTGAAATATTTGCTTATTCTACCTCAAATACTTAGGTTTTGAAATGAAACCAGTGTTGTACTTAACTCCACGTTTTATACAAAACCTATATGAGAAGTCAGTTTTGTTTGCAAATCTTATTTAAAGGAAGCCTGTTTGTAAATCATCACTTTTAACTTATTGCTAATATAAATCCAAGTTTTGTAGCTGATCTTTAAGACACAAGGTTTGCATCTGCTCTGTAGCATCTGATTCTTTGTGTTCCATTTGACTTATGTACCGACAGGGTCTGCATTTGAGGAAGCTGGTGTTTTGCATTATTACTTTAAGTGCTGGATAAATTGGCCAGGCAGACATTGAAGATAAGACTGTTTCCTTCACTGCTTTTAGTCCTGTTGATTGCTCCTACTCTTGTGAAAGGGCTTGAAGTCTATATCAGATTTATTGGATTTGATATGATACACTTTTCCGTTAAATAAATTATCACTCATATTCGATGAGGATAATTTGGTTGTAATTTCTACTTTGCCTTTGTTCAGAAGAAAAAAACACACACACCTTCCCTTTTAAAATGTATCCTTCCTATTTCCAACCACTAGTGACGGGACAATTACAAAACCACTCAAAAAAACGTCAAAGACCTCAATGTAGAAGGCAGAGCTATAAACACTCTTAAGAGAAAATAAGAGTTGACCTTTAAGACTTGCATTAGGCAGTGGTTTCTAAAGACTAAAAACACAAACAGCAACAGAAAATAAGTTGGACTTCAATAAAATTAAGAACGTGGCCTGGCACGGTGACTCAAGCCTGTAATCCCAGCTCTTTGGGAGGCGGAGGTGAGAGGATTTCCTGAGCCCAGGGGTTCTAAACCAGCCTGGGCAACTTGGTGAGACCTCGTCTCTACAATAAATCAAAAAATTAGCCAGACGTGGTGGCACATGCCTGTGGTGCCAGCTACTTGGAAGGCTGAGGTGGAAGGATCGCTGGAACCCAGCAGGTCTACACTGGGGTGGCCGTGAGTGTGCCACTGCACTCCAGCCTGGGTGACAGAGTGAGACTCCAACTCAAAAAAATCCAAAAAACATATATATATGTACACATACACACACATTTTTCTGTAGAGGAGTTATTCAAAAAGTCAAAACACATGAATGCATGTTCACATTGGCCCCAGGAAATGCAGGTCAAACCACAACGTGATGTCACTTCACACCCCCCGGGACTGACGGCATAATAGACAGATGTTGGCAGGAATGTGGGAGCTGGAGCCCTCATGCGCTGTTGGGGAGGGGCAGACAGTGCAGGTAGTGCAGATCCTCAGAGGCCAAATGGTTCCCTGGGCCCAGCAATCCTACCCTTGGCATATGCCCAGGAGAAATGAAAACACGTCCACACAAAAACTTGGACACGAACTTCACAGCAGCATTATAATATCTAAAAAGTGGGCAGCCTAAATGTTCCTCAGCTGATGAGTGAATGAAAATGTTCTCTATCCGTGCAGTGGACCACACTGCGTGTATCTGAAACCGTGTGACCTGACAGTACTTGGTGGTGACCGTTTTGCATCCAACCAGCAGTGAGCAAGTTCAAGCTGTTCTTCCTTCTCAGCACTTGGTATGATTGTAGGGTTGGTTTTTTTTTTTTGAGTCGGAGTCTCACTCTCACCCAGGCTGAAGTGCAGTGGCATGCTCGTGGCTACTGCAGCCTTGACCTGCTGGGATCAGGCAATCCTTCAGCCTCAGCCTTCTAAGTGATTGGAACTACAGGCAGGCGCCACCATGCCCAGGTAATTTTATTTTTTTAATTGTAGAGATGAGGTCTCACCATGTGGCTCAGGCAGGTCTCGAACCCCTGAGCTCAAGCAATCCTCTTGCCTCCACCATCATTTTTCTTTTAAATACTAGACCAACTTTTCACTCCTGAGATAAACCCTGCTTGAGTCATGGTGTATTCTTTTTATATATTAGATTTCATTTGCCAGTGTAATAAATGACAAAGTCCCTGTGATCTTATTAAAGTAATAAATGTTGCCGGGCTCGGTGGCTCAGCCTGTAATCCTGTGCTTTGAGAGGCTGAGGTGAGTGGATTGCCTGAGCTCGCGGGTTCGAAACTCACCTGGGCAACTTGGCAAGACCTCATCTCTACAATAAATAAATAAAAAAATCAGCCAGGTATGGTGGCGCGTGCCTGTAATTCCGGCTACTCAGAAGGCTGAGGCGGAAGGATCGCCGTAGCCCAGCAGGTCGAGGCTGCAGTGGCTGGGAGCAGCCACTGCACTCCAGTCTGGGCGACAGAGTGAGACTCCAACTCAAAAAATAAATAAATAAATAAAGTAATAAATGTTGCCAGGCATGGTGGCTCAAGCCTGTAATCCCTGCATTTTGGGAGGTGGAGGCAAGAGCTCAGGGATTCGAGACAAGTCTGAGCAACATGGAGAGACCTTGACTATAATAAATAAAACAATTAGCTGGGTGTGGTGGCACATGCCTGTGGTTCCAGCTCTCTGCAGTGTAGTAGCATAATTGTAGCTCACTGCATCCTTGAACTCCTGGCCTCAAGTGATCCTCCTGCCTCAGCCTCCTGAGCATCTGGAAGTACAGTGGCACGCCAACACACCTAGCTAATTTTTTTATTTCTTGTAAAGATGGAGGTCTTTTTGTTTTCCCCAGGTTGGTTTCAAACTCCGTTCCTCAAGCAATCCTCTTGTCTTAGCCTCCCAAAGTACTGGGATTACAGGCATGAGCTATCACACCCAGCCGACTAAAAGCATCTTAAATTACCTCATAAAATTTACGATTTAGAAGAAAATTTTAAATTTTAAAAAAGGCTTTATAACTTTCATCTTATAAAATCACTTGGATCAAGCTGGGCGCAGTGGCTCACACCTGTAATCCCAGCACTTTAGGAGGCAGAGGCTAGAAGATTGCCTGAGAACTACAGGCATGCACCACCAGGGGTTCAAGACCAGCCTGGGCAACTTGGCATAACCTCGTCTCTACAATAAATCAAAAAATTAACCAGGTGTGGTGGCACGCACCTTTGTTTGCAGCTACTTGGGAGACTGAGATGGAAAGATTGCCTAAACCCAGGAGGACCGAGGCTGCAGTAGCTGTGATCGTGCCATTGCACTCCAGCCTGGGCAACAGAGTGAGACTCCAACTCAAAAAAATAAAATCACTTGGACCAAAAAAAGCCCACCTTTGGTCAACAGATAATGACTAAGTGTGCATTAAGCTCTAATAAGAAGAACAAAGCCTCAAGTACTTGACATAATAGAAACATCTCCACCTAGCACCTTGGAAGACCAAGGTGAGAGGACTGCCTGAACCCACAGGTTCGAGACCAGCTCAGGTAACTTGGTGAGATCTCATCTCTACAATAAATCAAAAAAGTAGCTGGGCATGGGGTGCAAGCCTGTGGTTCCAGTTACTTGTAAGGCTGAGGTAGAAGGATCACCTGAGCCCAGCAGGCTGAGGCTGTGGTGGCCGTGAGCATGCCACTACACTCCAGCCTGGGCAACAACAGTGAGACACCTACTCAAAAAAAAAAAACCCAAACGTCTCTGGTAGTGAAGACCTTTCCATTGATTGGCTTTCCTCTGCGCTGCACGGTCACACCAGAATTCCTGTGTAAAATGCTTATAGGTGCAGTGTGATCTGGGTTGGGGCTGGAGGGCCTGGCTTGAGGCTTTGTTTCCATAGCAAGTCTTGCTGTTCTTGGACTATATATGTCACAGAACAATAGAAATAGAAGGCTTTTCTACAGGTGTTCTTATTCACATTTTACATAAGAGAAAATGTAGGTTGTCCAATACGGAAAACCGGAAGCTTGAGTGGATGCCCCCCTTCTTAGGCCACTGCCCTCCTGCTTCAGTACCTGGAGGTCACGGTCAGCTTCCCAGAGTCACAGGTGAGACATTCAGTTGCTTTTAGTTTTTCAGAGAAAAGGAAACTAAGAATGGCGGTCATGTAGGAATATCCCACATAAAACAGGAAAGAGTAGTTTGAGTTTTTTCCTCTTAAACAGTAGAAAAAAGAGAAGACATTCTCATTTCAAAGTAATTCATGTTAATTGGGCAAAATGATAGATTTTTTTTTAGTTGTGTATTTATAGAAGTAATATCAAATTTACTTGGAAATTAGATCATTTAAAAGGTTTCTTGTATGTTAAATGGTTAGAAGTGGTAGTATTAAACTAAAGAAAAGATGCAAAACCTTTATTTTACAGAATAGTATAAATGTTTATTTTCTGTATGATTTACTTTGCTGTCCTGTTTTTACAATATAGAAAAGTGTATTCTTTGAATAGCTCTAGTAAATATAAATTTAATCTTTCTACTTCGGGATGTAAATAGAGCTAAAAAATTATATACCCAACCCTCCCCAAACAGTCTTTTAGAATCGTTGAATTAATGTGACTATTCATCTTGTTCAGCAACTTGATGCAAATACCTAAATACAAAATGTTGGTTAGTCAGTACTACACGGCCTGGGAAGGCTCCATGTTTTAGATACTTCTCAAAAATCAGAAAAACTAGTCGCATTTGATTGCACCCTGACATTTTTACAAGCAAAACATTCTTAAGAAATGCCATCATACATAATCTACAGTTGTAATCAATATTTCACAAACATTTTCTGCACACTGTATATAAATACACATCACAAAGGTGCAATTAGAATTAACACAGAATATGTACAAAATGAACAAAGTTTAGGTTTAGACCAAAAACTTATTGCAATCTTTTGAAAAATAACTTGATTAGATATTTATTTTATCCTCTTACACTAATTTACATTTATACAAATTTTAATTAAACATACTAGATTGAGGCGCTAAGAATGCATTATCTACATTTAAAGTTACTGCACTATAATTCTATAAATCCAAATTTCAAAAGGAAGATCCTTTCATGAGTAACGGAATCCTCTGCTGGATTTCTGTTGCCTACATCTTGCATGTTCGTATGAACATATATACACACTTAATACATACAGCTATAGGGTCCTTGTAGGAAGCGTAATCATCACAGACCAATAATTATTGAGGACTAAGGAACCTAACAAAATGCCTGAATTCCAACATGGTTTCCTCTTGTCATAAAATCAAGAGTCCTATTACAAACAGGCTCTTAAATTCATAGTTTTTTTAATTACTGAAAATGATTTAGGTTATTTTAGTAATCATAGGAAAACACTCATACCTTCAGCTTACCAAATCACTGGTTAAAAATAATGCCACAGCTAATTTCCTTGATAAAAAAAAAAAACCTGCTACAATTATGAAAGCTTTGTTAGGAGAACCATTTCGGTAAATCAAGGAAGAGTCACATACTGGTTTGAAACCTCTTAATTCAAAAGTCTACAAAGAGAACTGTTTGTATAGATGAAAACTCCTCTAAACTCATCTCTTACAGCTTTAATATTCTCTACTTCCCCCCCAGGCAAACTTTACACTTGATCATTACACAAGGTTCCATGTCACCCTGACATCATCATCAGGTTTACTTCTGTCTACATGCACCTCTCACTTCAACAGCGCCCAGTAATCGCTTTGACAACTCAGTATCATTTGCAATGCATGCCACCTCTTTGGAAGAAAATGCAGATGACCCCGAACATTTGTCAGCTATTCCTAAGAGAAACACACTGCTGCCCTCTGCTGAGAATTATTTACTGTCCCGTATTTGATGATTTTTAAAAAACTTTTTATTTTAAAAGTGTGCCTGGGTATTTTGCTTCCCCTGCTAACATTCCCAAAGTGACAGCAGGATACTATTCCAGAATCCGCCTGATATAGCTGACTTTTCTTTAGCAGAGACTGCTTTTCTAAACACAAAGTGCCATTTGAATGTGTTCCATGGGGATCTGTTCACCTAACATTCTCTCTGCTTATGCCCTGGGTCTAGGCCCAAGGAGTGACTAGGTGACAACTTCTGTGGCTTTGGCTTTTTCTACTGAACAAAGTCATACAACACCATACATTATAAATTACAGCAATTTATAAATGTTCTTTGTCAATAGAATCAGGAGGACAGGAAATCTAATTCTTAAGAAACCTAACAAATTAAAACTCTATATAATACAATAAAGAAAAATTCAATTTAGAAAGGGCATAAGCAGACTTAACTAAGATTTAAAATGTACTAATTTCCTCATTTAAAAATCTCTTCTCTTTCAATATTATAATTCCAGGTCTCTTGAATTAAAATACAGTAATTGTTCAACCATCTTTGAGAACATCACGTGTCCCTGCACTTTCAGTTTTCTGTCCAGTTCCACTGTCAGTCTCTGGGAAGAGTCAGCAATTCATGGCACAAGGGTCACTCTTTGCTTTTCCCGCGGAGTTGATGACACTCATCAGACACCGCCCGAACTCCTCAAGTATCATCCTCTCGGCCGCTGCCTTAGACTTGCCCTTCTTGTCAGCCTGCTCGGCCTGGGCCAAGAGGCAGTTACATGTGGCTTCAGCAACTTCTTTTGTTACAAAGGTGAAGGGCAACCTGGAAGGAGTTGAGAGAGAGATGATGGACTAAGTAAAAACAGAAGCGGGATGTTCTTCCATCTGGAAATCTCCACTGACACTACCAGGATTCATGGCACCGTGAGCATCATAGTTTGCTCAGTAAGTACAGGCACATCCTCAAGAGCTTTACAAAAGGTGGATTTGGTTTTATTATTGGCATATATAAAACACTTTTTTTGAGTCAGAGTCTCGTTCTGTCACCCAGGCTGGAGTGCAGTGGCATGATCACAGCCACCACAGCCTTGACCTGCTGGACTCAGGCAATCCTTCCACCTCAGCCTGGGCAAAATTAAAAAAAAAAAAAGCACTTTGCCATCGTTCCTTGTAAAAAACAAATAAGAAAACACACCACAATTCTACACCATTCCATCACAACAAACAACACAAAACAATGGGGAAGCTACATGTTCTGCCCATGGAGCTATTCAGAAAGGCCTGAGCCAGTGAGTGCTAACTCAGAGCATCTTGCTGTGTGTGTGGCTACGGCAAATGTTAAAGCCTGCAGGAGATTAAATCAGGCAGCCTAAGCTAGCCACCAGCCCAACAAGCTATAGTAAGCAGTCACCAGCAAAAGGACACTGCAAGACTGAATACATGGAGCCTGACTAGAGGCCCCATGGCAGGGAGGGGAGCTGAGAACATGGGCACTCAGGATGCCACGCAGCCACACAGGATCTCCAGCACATGTGAAGCCCTCTGCATTAGAGGATATCACTACCATAACACTGTTTACCTGGTAACACTATGTAACTAGTGACACCATCTTATGGAAGTGTTTGTCCTAACATACTTTGGAGACTATAGAGAAAGAAAAAGAAGGAAAAAGAAGTCAAGGGCCTTATAATCCTGGTACTTTGGGAGGCTGAGGTGAGAAGATTGCCTGAGCCCATGGGTTCGAGAACGGCCTGGGCAACTTGGCGAGACCTTGTCTCTACAATAAATCAAAAAATTAGCCAGGTGTGGTAGCACATGCCTGTAGTTCCGCCTACTTGGAAGGCTGAGGCGGAAGGATCGCCTAAGCCCAGTGGATGGACGCGGGGGTAGCCGTGAGCTTGCCACTGCACTCTAGCCAGAGCGACGGTGTGAGACTCAAACTCAAATTCAAACTCAAAAAAGAAAAAAGAAGTCAAGCATTTTGTCACTCAAAACGAAAGCTTGTGAACATGCTGAGCAGCTTTTTTTTTAAATTTTTATTTATTTATTTATTTTTTTTGTGAGTCAGAGTCTCACTCTGTTGCCCAGACCAGAGTGCAGTGGCCGCTCCCGGCCACCGCAGCCTCGACCTGCTGGGCTCCGGCGATCCTTCCGCCTCAGCCTTCCGAGTACCCGGAATTACAGGCGTGCGCTACTACACCCGGCTAATTTTTTGATTTTAGTGTAGAGATGAGGTCTCGCCTGCCCAGGCGGGTCTCGAACCCGCGGGCTCAGGCAATCCACTCACCTCAGCCTCCCAAAGGCGCGGGATTACAGGCTGAGCCACCAAGCCCGGCTTATACAGCTTTTTAAACACAGTTTTGATTATAGTATATAATTCTGTGTTCTTCTCCACTTCATATCATAAATATTTTACTGTAGCAATATCTATAATCTCCACATGGGGATTAGGTTTAATAATATAAAGGGTTGTTCAAAGACCAGAAATGCTCCCATGCTTCAACCCACATCAAGGTAACTGCCCACAGCCACTCTCTGCAATCAAGAAGCATTTGCTGGTAATATTCTAGTCAGTTCTTCAGTACTAGTATCTAAAATTTTTTGCCCAAAAAAGTCTGACTTTTATAAGCACTGGTACTTACTTAACCTTAAGCCTTTAAAATAATGTTTTCCAAGGCTCATCCCATTCAATAATCCCTCAAATTGACCTCTAACCAACTTTCTAATGCAGATCCAAGTAAATCACCACCTGTGAGGCATCCAGTCCTGACCACCGCTGGGGACGAAACTGCATCATTCCTCACATTATTACAAGTCTCACTCAGGGTGAAGAAAACAGAGGCTGGAGGATCATGCTCATCTGGTTTACTAACTGCTGCAGACGCTGTGGGTACTGACTCTCAGGCCTGCCTGACTTGAAAATCAAGTGTTTTACTCAAGCACACAGCAGCCTCATGAGAGGGATAACAAGCAGGACTTCAACACTGCAGTGTGAGGCTGGGCAACAGGATGGGACAGCACCGAGAACACAGACAAGGCATGGTCTGCCAGAAATGGGGAACTACGGGGTACAAGAAGCATAAAATAAGAGGTGCGAAAAGCTGGTTTCCTTAGGACTTCTTAAGTTATATCACCCTCCTCTTAGCTGGGGAAAGCAAGTTAGACCAAGTACAATGAACCAAGGCAATACTATGCATCTTAGACTTGTACCATGGACCTGGCAGTAAAGAAAAGGTCAAATCAGTTTGCAACAACTAGAAGTATGAACTCAACTTGGTCCCCTCAAAAAGAAACTGCCCAAAACAAATTATTCGAGAAATGTTTAAGAAGAGACAAGAGTGCTGACGTACTTTCCTCCTCCGCTGCTGAGCGCAGGAGCTGGCCGCGTGAGCAGGTCGGAGATCTGCGAGGACAGTTTGGTCTTGGCCGCCGTCTGCTGCTGGACCCTGACTTCTGCTGCATCTGCCAAGTGCATCAGGGTTTTTCTTTCTGGGCTTTCTTCAAAATTCTTACAACCAATACATTTGCATATTGAGGAACACATTATTTTCGCCTAAAAGATTTATGGGAGAAAATTTTCCAAGTCAAAACAAAAAATACTACTAGAAGTAGATTCCAAAATCCAGTCAACAGATAATAAACAGCATCACCTGGTCAACAGATATAAAATCGGATGAAAGCACTTCACTTCTTGCCGACAAACGCTGAATGGGCTAGCAACACTCGTGGCTAGGTCAGGTATTAAGTCTGAGACTGGCCATAAAAACTGTGTTCAAGCCCTTCCATGTCAGTTTCCCCCTCTATGAATACAGATTTTCCCCTGGATATAAATAACACATATTTTTCATAATGCATATGAATGATATATTAAAACATTAAAAATAAGGGTCATTCAGCATCCAACCCCCTAGTCAAATCACCACCAACATGCTGGTGACCTCCCATTTATGCAAACACACACACAATTCCTTTTTTTTTTTTTTTTTTTTTTGAGTTGGAATTTCACTCTGTCTCCCAGACTGAAGTGCAGTGGCCGCTCCCGGCCACTGCAGCCTCAACCTGCTGAGCTCCGGTGATCCTTCCACCTCAGCCTTCCAAGTAGCTGGAACTACAGGTGCGCACTACCACACCCGGTTAATTTTTTTATTTATTGTAAAAATGAGGTCTCGCCAGTTGCCCAGGCAGGTCTCGAACCTGCAGGCTCAGGCAATCCACTCACCTCAGCCTCCCAAGGCGCGGGATTACAGGCTTAGCCACCGAGCCCGGCTTACACGCACAATTTCACAGTGAAGGGATTTCATAGGTACTGTTTTTATTATGAAAAAAATTAAATGAGTGTCTTTTCATGTAAAAATAAGTAAATACAAGCATAAGTATATAAAATCCTAGACCTTATGTACATACACAACACATACAGAATTCTTGCTCAGAACCATCCTCTTCTGTATCTTGCTTTTCTTACAGAACCACAACTCACGGACTCCCTCCCAGTCATCTACAGAGCCTGAGTTCACTCTGCTTTAATTGCTGGGTAGTAATTCCTGGTGTGATGTGCGATGTTTTATTGGACATTCATTTCTCTCTATGTAGATAGATAAATAGATTTATTTATTTTAAGACAGTCTGTTGCCCAGGCTGGAGTGCAGCGGCACAATCACAGTTCACTGCAGTGTTGAACTCCTGGGCTCAAGTAATCCTCCTGCCTCAGCCTCCTGAGTAGTTGGGACTATAGACACACAACCCATGCCCAGCCTATTTTTAAATTTTTGTAGAGACAAGGTTTCACTTTGTAGCCCACGTTGGTCTCAAATTCCTAGGCTCAAGCGATCCTCCAACCTCGGCCTGCTGTAGTGCTGGATTACAGGTGTGAGCCACCGGGTCCAGCCTAGTTCCCTATTAATGGGCATTTGTTTCCATTCTTGGGAACCATTAAAAAAAGCATCTTTTGTATACATTATGGATCTTTTGTATACATTATGCTTCTATTTTTCTGCGTTAGATTTCTAGAACTGGGCTCACAGCTTAAGGGGTATGTGTATTTTAATTTTGAGATGTGGCCAGATAACTTTTTCAAAAGGCTGTAACACCTTATAGCTATCAGCAGTGTATGAGGGAGGGCTTCCCACCCTCCCTTCAAAGTGGATGTCATGACTCCTAACATTTTCTCTTCTGACAGGAGCATTCTCTAATTTACATTTCCCTGACTCCTGGTGAATCTGAGAATTCTGGTCAGCTGCATATTCCTTAGTGAACTCATGTCAACATAAATAAATAAAAAGGCTGTCCTTTCTCTCTAGGATCTAGCAAGATAAATGGACTACACTAGGAAAACACTTACTCTATTCTTTTCTTCAATACACCCGTAAGTTCTATTTGCCAAAAAAAAGCAGCTACACACTTGGGTTATGGGGTTACTGAGCGCCTGTCTGGGAACCTAATGAAGGCAGTGCTCACCAAGCACCTAGCAATGGAAAGGTCAACCCTGACCTCAGGGTGGAGGTAACGTGCCGTTAATCATCATTTGAACAATGTTTTAAGAACCATAGAAAGAGCCAGGCATGGCGGCTCATGCCTATAATCCCAGCACCTTGGGAGGTGGAGGTGAGAGGACTGCCTGATCCCAGGGGTTTGAAACCAACCTGGGCAACTTAGTGAGACCTCGTCTCTACAATAAATCAAAAAATTAGCTGTGTGTGGTGGCGCATGATGCCTGTGGTTCCAGCTACTTGGGAGGCTGAGGCAAATGGATCCCCTGAGCTCAGCAGGTTAATAAGACTGCAGTGGCCGTGAGCATGCTATTGCACTCCATCCTGGACAACAGAGTGAGACGCCAACTCAAAAAAAAAAAAAAGTCACTCAGAATGACAGGAGTTCGGGTGGGAAATTACACAGCCAAACATCTATCTGGCTTTGCTAACTCAACTTCCCTGCAGCTCCCGTCCCCCACAAAAGGGCGTGAAGGGGAAGAACATCATGGACAGACCCCATCCACTCAGCAAGCCTGAAGGCCAGGAGAGGTGCATGAGTGTGCTATCTGGGTGTGCGCCACTGGATCACGAAGCCAGGCAACCACAGTCCAGGGTGTTTATAGAGCAACAGTTCAACATATGGATACACGGCCACCTGGTGTCACAGCCAAGCCACAGGCAGCCAATCAGCCACACTGTTCATAGCTTAGTGTATTCTAAACTTTTTTGTATTTTGGTACAGAACTTTTGGAATGCCCAATCAGTTGTCAGACGGTCTATCTGTCCTGACACAGTTTCACAGGAACAGAGAGGACAGGGTTGTCTCTCCCAATACTGTTCAACCAGTCCACCATCTCTCCTACTTCTGTTAATTTGCAGATCCATTAACCAGTTCAATTAAATGATTAGTTCATGTGTCTAGATTTCACATGCCCAGCATGAACTGAATAGTCAGTCTGTGTACATGAAAGAGTAGTTTTACCCTTCCAATGCAGCCTGATATCCATTTCCCTCTTTTCTCTTTTTGTGGACTTAGTTTGATAGCTTGCAACAAAATATTGTAGTTTTTGTTTTGTTTTTTGCTTTTTTTCTGAGTCAAAGTCTCACTGTCATCCAGGCTAGAGTGCAGTGGCATGCTCATGGCCACCGCTGCCTCAGCCTGCTGGGCTCAGGAGATCCTTCTACCTCAGCCTTCAGAGTACCTGGGACTATAGGCACGCATCACCATGCCTGGCTAATTTTTTTATTTATTGAGCAGATGAGGTCTTGCCAAGTTGCCCAGGCTGGTCTTGAACCTGTGGGCTCAGGCAGTTCTCTCGCCTCCACCTCCCCAAGTGCTGGGATTACAGGTGTGAGCAACTGTGGCTGACCTGTGTGTTAATTCTTACATATTCATGGCAGCTGTTATACGGTATGGCTTAAAAACATAAGCCAAGCTAGTTCATCAGATATTCAAAGAGAAGAGTCAAAATATTCCAACTCTGGATAAAAAACTGGCTTACTGGATTTTAAGATGCTATTTATAATACTTTCAAAAATAAACTTGACTTCACACAATTTTCACCACATTGACTGTAAAACTAACAAAGCGCTGCTCTCTATACTGCTTTACTTCTTGAAGGAGCATTTGACCTTTTAAATAACCAGGAAAGGATTCACTATTCAGAGAATGCGGCACATGCAGCCTCTTCCCTGGTGTGTGTTGTATGGGAGCAGGACTGCAAGACATGCCCTGTGCAGGGCAGCCCTTACCAAGAGGCTTGTCACCAGGACGGTGCTGCTTCAGCAAGTGCCAGGCTAGGCTTTCTGCCAAAACTAAAAAAATGAAAGTCTCTCCAAGAATAAAATTTGAAAGGATGAAAGTATAGCAGATAAGAAGAGCCAACTGTGGAATAATGCAACCCCAAAGCCTGTCAGGAAAGAGCCTCGGGCGTCACGATGAACCAGGGTAACCTAGGGACCATCCTAGGTACGACAGGCTGTTATCCTTAAGTTTTTCAGATAAAAGTAAAATAGGCAGCACTTCGCCTGAAGCAAGAAGGGGGATGACTCATGTGGCATCTGTCAACACAGGGTTTCTTTTTTTTTTTGAGTCGGAGTCTCACTCTGTCACCCAGGCTGGAGTGCAGTGGCATGATCACAGCCACCACAACCTTGACCTGCTGAGCTCAGGTGATCCATCCATCTCAGCCTTCCAAGTAGCTGGAACTACAGGCGTGCGCCACCACGCCTGACTAATTTTTTTATTTATTGTGGAGATGAGGTCTTGCCTAGTTGCCCAGGCTGGTCTCGAACCCCTGGGCTTAGGCAATCCTCTCCCCTTACCCTCCCAAAGTGCTAGGATTACAGGTGTGAGCCACCATGCCCAGCTAGCACAGGGTTTCAACTGCACCTTCCAGAGAAGACACCTGACCCGTAAATGACCGTGGCCATGTGGATGCTGAGCCACAGATGGACATGGGGCTCCCAGTATGGCTGAGTGCCCAGCGGTCCCAAGGGCCCCCTGCTGGCAAGCGCACCCACACCAGCCTCTCCACGAGATCTTGCTCTCTACAGAGCCACACTTCAGGGGGCATTGCTGACATCTGGGCCAAGACAAGCCTTTGCTTTTAGGACCCGGGAGTACAGGTTGGCTGTCCCAGGTACAGCTTTCAAAAGCCTTGGGAAAGAGCAGGTGGCACCACACTGAAGCAAGAGCCACCGGTGTGAGGTCTCGGTTCACTCTGACACTATATATTTTTTTTTAATCAATACATTGATACTCTGATGTGCACACTTCTGTGTATAATGACCAAGATGCCGCCAACTTGTAAGCCACCCATGGGACCCAAATGGGGATGACAAGCCCAAGCATCACTCCTTTGGAGGACCTTAGAGGCCAGAGGCCTTCTTCAGATGACAGGCTTTGGGCCCACTAGGACAGCAAGATGGTTCCCAATTTTTGAGCAAATGTGTGTGGCATGTCCTCTGAAACTGTCCTCGAAAGCTGGTTTGACGGCCATCCCCGCCCGGACCTCACCTCATAGCACTCGCAGTAGTTCTTCAGACACCCAGAGCGCTTACAGTTGCAGCCCTTGCTGTGGCGCCGGTCGGACTCGCCCTCCTTCCCCTTGCCTATCTTGGGCTTAAAGGCTTCTGGATTCCGGTCGAGGCACGCCTGGCAAGACCAATCAGATGTCAGTCAACTTTAAACCATAGCAGATCAAGTATAAACAACGTGAACGCAATTAATATTTTTATTTATAAGACAACTGAGTTATTAAAAAAAAGATGAAATGAGATTTTTGCAAATTAAATAAAACAAATAAATAATCACCTTTATTGCTTTTTGCCTTTCATTTTCATGTTCCAAATTGTTATAACAATTAGTACAATTGCAGTTGTTGCAAAATTCACCATTTGCAAAGCAATCACAATATCTGGAATGCAAAAATCAGTATAAGGTAAAAAAATCATAATTAATACTAGTGATTACCTGATTATATACCTCATGTACACACTATCTATGTGGTAAAGCAGTCTAGAAATGTACTCACAGCTGGGCAACCCCCTCGGGTCCCCTCCCACCTCCCACTGTGGGAGCTTTTCTGTCCTCTTAATAAATCTTGCTTTAAAAAAAAAGAAATGCACTTAGAGCTACCTAGTTACAGTGTTGACAACACATATTGTCAACCACACACTAAGACTCAACGTTTAAGTCACCAAGTCCTAGAATTTTGTCCTAAAACCTCAGTCGACCCAGTACCAGCTGTCAACATAGAGCTACGTGATTTTATGTGTGCCAAAGCAAGTGACTTCAGAGTCCTGAGAAGGAGAAGCCTTGGCTATGTTCTAACTGTGGACCCTGCCTGCTTCCTGCATTGGACCTCTCTGAATATTAAGCCCCTGTGAGACCAATGTTGTTCATTTAACTGTTTCATGTCAAGTCTTTTTGTTTAATACTAATATGTAAATTAGTCATCCAATGATTTTATTTTTTTATTTTTAGATTAGAAAATATAGTTTATTTAAAAAGTAAATTAGAGAGAGAAAGAATTCACCTCCCCAAGGTAGGGGAGAGGGCCAAAGTCAGGAAACATAGCGACAGCCACAGCTAAAAGAGCACAGGCCCACACCAGAATCTAGTAAGGCAATGGCTGCAATGGCCTGGCAATGGCAGTGGCAATGGTCCATCCAATGATTTTAAAACTATTCAGAGCATCACCTCACTTAGGAGACCAAATGCAAAGGTCCTAAGTAAAATCAGACATTATTATTGAGGCAGAAACCATGTCTGTGTCCTGCTACTGTGTTCCTAATCCCCACTCCAATGACTTGTGAGGTAAAGACTAAAATTCTCCTTTCTGAATGAATAAATTAAAATGTTTTTACACTGCCATATGTGTGCAAACATTCACTTGTATGTTTGTTTAAATTACTTAGACTTATAAAATTGCCTGTTAAGAATTTTTAGTTAGAACCATTTAATTTTAAGAGTATTCCTAATTATATTAGATGAGCAACCAGTAGCAAAAACACTTACAATTTCAAACACAGCGATTTTGTGCAATTACAGGGCTTTCTGGGGCGACTGGCAGACTCTGATGGGATTATGCTATACAGACACAAAGAAGGCATTTTAATCAATTAAACAGTAACTATATAAAATGAGAAAGGCTGCAAACTGTACATTCCTTCAAAAATAAAGCCCTAACAAGTATAGCTATCACTAATAAAAGTTTGCTATGTCATTCCATTTACATGAAGTTCAAAGGCAACTTGTAATGTGAGCAGAGTAGACAGCCAAGAGACAGAATAATCAGGAAAAAAAGCATTGATAGCTGCTGAATAACATGCCACAGATACGTTTCCGTCCAAGAAAACAAAAGCAGAAGCCTCCAGGAAACTCTTGGGATCCAATGACAAAAAGCAGCGAGGAGGAGAGTGGAGGGGAAGTGGGGGTGGGCAGGCAGGCTCTGGGTGACAGCAAGGCACGGCAGTCCATCATCACCGGCCTAACAAGGAGCTCACATCACGCTAGAGCACAGTTAACAGCACATGTTAGACACACATCGGGTGAGGGGATCAGTGCATCCAACGAAGAGAATCTGGGAGTTTCCTGACTATTTGGATAACTTGTCTGAAGTGTTTCAAAATAAAAAGCATGTGGGAAGCACACTCGTGGTTTTCAGGGGAAAATCAAATGGGATGCACTTGAAATGTAGATTTAACATTGCCTGTAAGCTGATCCAACAACTGACTTCACATGTTTTTCGAATACTCACCCGTTGAAGGGCAGCCTTGCCTGGGTCTGGATGCTGGACGTCCCCGTAAAGTTTGAGCTGCTGGCGATCGACACATACGAAGACTGCTGGAGCTGTGTGGGAAGAGAGGTCAACTCAGGTCACATTTGCAAGGACAGACAAGACTCTCTGAGGTGATTCATGAGAAACATAAGTTCATCTACTAAAGAGGAACACAGTGGAGAGTTGCCTACAACCTTTCTCACAGAGCTCTCTTAAAGACCCAAACCCACGTTACAGGTGGAAATGATGTGAACATTTTATAGTGCTACAAAGTGTAAATATACATAAATTATTCCATAGAGAAGTATGTCACAATTACAGGAAGTTCTAGATGAATGCCCTGAAAGTACTGTAATATCTTGTATTGGTGAGAAAAAATGTAAGGTGCCTATTTACAAATAAAATTGGTATTAAATTGATCATTACAAATCATAGAAAATGAGAGGTTACATGCACAATAGTTGAGCTTCTATTTTACACTAATTTCTTTCTTTTTTTTTTTTTGAGTTGGAGTCTCACTCCTTTGCCCAGGCTAGAGTGCAGTGGCATGCTCACAGCCACCACAGCCTTGACCTGCTGAGCTCAAGCAATGTTTCCACCTCAGCCTTCCAAGTAGCTGGAACTACAGGCGTGTGTCACCACACCCAGCTAATTTTTTTTATTGTAGAGACGAGGCCTCGCCATGTTGCCCAGGCTGGTCTTGAACCCAAAGGCTCAGGCAATCCTCTTGCCTCCACCTCCCAAAGTGCTAGGATTACAGGTGTGAGCCACCACGCCCGGCCTAATTTTTTACATAAACAGTCACATAACATACTTCAAAGTACATTTCATTAAAGTCCATGTGTGGATCTGTTTCCTTCTCTTATAATCCAAGTTGATCAATCTGTTTAGAACATGGTATAATCTACTTGATACATAAATGACAAAGAAACTTCCATCTGCTCTGCGGAAGCAGCACTGTCAGCCCAGGTCAGACAACAGGCTAATATGTGGCTTTCATTCTATAGATCCAGTGAGAGTGGACAGGCCAGTAGAAACATTCTACAGTTCACTTTCCAAGCACAAGTCAGCAGTGTCATACTGACGAAGAGCTGCACTACAGACACAGTCTTTTCTAGATTCACGTGGGCTCTGCTGATCTTAACGTCACCTTCTCTCACATCTCCCTAGTACTGCTGTCTCACTAGTTGCTCTCAGTTCCAAACTGCCTGGCTTGTGTATCTGACTTGTACTTCTAAATGCTAAAGACACATAGAAATACACTCAAAAATTTTGGTTAACATTTTGAGATTTTGGAAAGAGACATTTTAATGCTCAGTCAGGTATTTTTGAGTAGTTTCAGAATGTGACAGTGCTGGACCTCTCAGACTCGACTGTCACTTTGAAATGCAGTGACTTTGTTACCTCCACACACCTGAGTCACATACTGAGCGGGAAGCACCGCGTAGCCCACATTCCCCGCTCCCGGAGCTGGGGCCAGGACAGTGCCTGGTGGCAGGTTAGTGAGGTTGGGCTGGATCTGTGGCAGGGGCGTGGCGGGCATGATGAGCCGCTGCTGGGGCTGGCTGGTTGTCACGATTTGTGAAGTTGGGTTGATTGGTTTTGGAACGACCTAAACAGGAGGGAAATACATCAATGATCACAAAAGTAAATTCTGCAGCTGCTCATTTCAGTGTGAATCTCTTTTATCTAAATTTTAACTTTCAATTTAAAAAGCAGATTGTCTATTTGGGAGAGACGGAGAAAAGAAGTTCTAGATACTCACTTGTTTCACAGCCTGAGCGGAGACAATCGGAACTGACATCCGCACAGGGGTTGTATTAACCACCACTGGCTTTGCTTTTGAAAAAAGAAAAAAAAATGAACCACTTATTTCCATAAAATAATATTCAAAACACTGAAGCCTATCAGCTCTCCCAAGTCACCCTCTACAGCAGAGTTTAAGACCTTCCTATCTGCAGCAATCTTTAATGAGGACAGTTATCTTTCAAAACTGCTTCTCAGTCAGAGAACCTGCAGCCAGTTTGCCACAATGTAACAACTTTATGAGGGAATATCTGTGGGCTCAAGACATTCTCCTAGAAATGCTTCCATTGTGGTCAGATGGTTTGTACATTCAATATTAAATCCAGTCAAGTGAAACGTTGTATAAATAAAAGAACTGCCATTCACAACTTGGGTAACAACACTGCTTCCACTACTAATTCTAATTGCTGTTTCTGTTCAAACCAGAGAAAACTTTTACAGAACGCACACTAAAAGGCAACGCAGCAAAAGGTTAGGAAAACAGGCTATAGAGTCATAAGGTCCAGGGTTTAAACCCCAGTTCTTCCACTTTCTAACTACTTAAACTTTCTTGCCTAGATTCTTGTCTGCAACACTGAAGTGCCTACCTGAGAGCACAGAAGCTAAATATGCTAATCCATGAAAACTGACTAGAACAGTGCCTAACAAATAACAAGTGCTCAATAAATGTTAGGTGTCATTGTTGTTATTACAACTACTATGGTTATTAAATGGCACCGTGGTCACTGTTCCAGGGAAAGAGATTACCTTCTAGGAGAGCACTTAGGTAAGAACCTAGATAAGAGAAATGCCATTAAAGGAGATGCAGGAAAAGGTGGGGAGGTAAGGGTGGGAGAACACATGTCCGACTGGCAGAGGGTGGGAATACAGAGAGAGTGCCCGGAGAAGACAGGGTGCTGTGGGCCTGACAAACAGACGGAGCACACAGAAGGTGCACAGATGGAAGAAGGCATTTCCTGTGGAGGCAGAGGCAGGAGATGTGGAGGCTTGATTCCAGGAGGCTGCAAAGCGAACTCACAAAACATCGGGGAACAGATGACTCTGGCTGGTACCTGGGGCATTTCTGTAGACAAACAGACAAAAAGGCAGACTGCAGACATTTGTTGAGGACCTCGAATGAATGGGCAGGGATCTGGACACTGAGTCTGTTTTTTCGTTTTTTTTGAGTTAGAGTCTCACTGTGTTGCCGAGGTTGGAATGCAGTGGCACACTTATGGCTACCCCAGTGTCGACCTGCTGGGCTCCGACGATTCTTCCACCTCAGCCTTCCAAGTAGCCAGAACTACAGGCGCATGCTACTACACCTGGCTAATTTTTGATTTATTGTAGAGATGAGTTCTTGCCAAGTTTCCAGGGCTCAGGCAATTCACTCACCTTGGCCTCCCAAAGTGCTGGGATTATAGGCTGAGCCGCTGAGCCTGGTCTGAGTCTGTATTTTTAACTCAGTAGGTAAGGGCAAGTTTTGGGGGATTCTAAATACAGAAATTATATTGGAACAGCACAAGAAGTGAATTTGGCAGCAGTGTGTAAAACAGTATGGCAGTGCCAGAAACAAGACAGATCAGAGGAGTGGAAAAAGTGAATGTGTGATGGGGGCGACAGCATAGGAACGAGGAGGGGAGAGACAGGAGACCTGATGGGGCGGATGGGACTCGACTTCCCACTCACGTGGGAGAATTGCAGAAACAAGGGGAGAAAGAGGACGTCACCACAGAGTTGTCAAGGGACCAGGAAACGACAACTATTAGAACTCAGTTCTAAAACTCAGGATGAGCTGATTGGAAGGATGGAACTGGACATGCAGACATGCTATGATGGAGCTCAGGAGAGACGCTGGCACGGGACCCATGTGCTTGAACCAGAAGCAGTGATTACTAAAACAGCCTCCTGCCATCCCCACTGTGAAGGCAGGGTCTTCGGAAGACAGAAGGCAGCTCTCCAAGGTCCGCTGAAGCACAAGTGCAGCCTGAGCCTGGTCTGAAGGAGAGAGGCTGGTTGTGAGATCCCGACTCTGAACGAGTGAAGAATACATGTCCGTGAATGGAAAGGCCACTGTGACAGGAGCAGACACTTTACTGGGTGAGGATGGAAGTCTGATGGCAAGTCCAGGAGAGAATCTCAGGGGTGCCCTGATCTGCAGGGGAGCAGGCTACCACAGCAGGGTACAAGCCAGGGTGAAGGGGGCAGGGAGGGACCGCCCGGGAGACGGAATGATGGTGGAGACAGCCGTACAACATGTTGACTAGACCGAAAGCCAGTGCACTGTACACTTCGGAGGGGTGATATATGAGTTACATCTTCACCAGGTTCTTCTACCAGGAGATTGGGACCATGGGATACAGGAGTGGTGACATCAGGCCCAGGCATGATGTTGTTCCTGTTCTCTTGAGTTTCCTGGGTTTTACCCAAGGGCCAACCAAGTCATCATGACCACTGGAGACAGCCTAGCAGGGCTGAAGGCATGACGGTGAGGCTGGACTCCTGTCAGGACACGGTGAGAGGACACTCCTCAAGGACAGCCCCCTCCCCTCTGCTCCTGGGAGCAGAGCCCCTGATTGCTGTCCCTGAGCACACAGCAGTGGCTCTGAAGTGACAGCCATGACCAGTGGAGTGAGACAACCCTGGTGGCTCTGAGAAGTCATGGGGGAGGGTATGTCCTGCCTTCATTCATCACATGGGGGATTGGGGGAACCCCCCTGCCCCTTCCCACACACATGAGCACCACAGCCCCTGGAAACTTAGACACGGAATTGACATGGATTTGTCATCTGAATGTGGAGTTTTAATTGACACCTGGGAGTGAAGAAAGTAGAACATGAAGTGGCGCCGACACTAAGTACTACACACACTGGGAGAGATGTCATGCATACAGGCCAGCAAGCTGTCCTCCTCCTCCTCTTCCTCCCTTAGTGCACGGAACTGATCACTGCACAGTCTTCGTGGACACCGGCACAGTCTTTTTAGTCTGTAGCAGGAACTCCAAGCAATCCTTTTTTTTTTTTTTTGAGTTGGAGTCTCACTCTGTCGCCCAGACTGGAGTGCAGTGGCCGCTCCCGGTCACCGCAGCCTCAACCTGCTGGGCTCCGGCAATCCTTCCGCCTCAACCTTCCAAGTAGCCGGAATTACAGGCGTGCGCTACCACGCCCGGCTGACTTTTTTTTTTTTTTATTGTAGAGATGAGGTCTCGCTGCCCAGGTGGGTCTCGAACCCGCGGGCTCAGGCAATCCACTCACCTCAGTCTCCCAAAGGTGCAGGATGACAGGCTGAGCCACCAAGCCCGGCTTTAAGCAATCCTTTAAAACAGCCTCCTATTTAACCTAACCCAAACTCCAGAAACCACACCCTCAAGTGTTTGAGGCTGTCTGATTTCTTAAGTTGATTCCTCCCCTCACCAAGATGATGGATGATGTTCTGGAAAGGCTGACAAGCACTGTCCTGGTCCCTCTGCTATGCCACCTGCCAGCAAGCCAGCAACTAATCAACATGGCGGAGCCTCTGAACACTGGCTCTTGTCCAGCCCGAGGGCAATGTACACAATTAGCCTAAGACCCGCTGGCATTTGGGTAAATCCCTCAAAAAAAGTTAGGCCCATAAAAAGACATCTTAACATATTTGATGAACCAGAAAAACTATTCAGTGTATCACCCATAAACACTGTAAATTTAACTTGTTATTCATGTGAAATAATATGTGTCTGTATTATTTCACAGGAAATACATATGCATGTATTACACATATACACACAGATCTTTTATGGAACAGAAAAGACAAAACTATAAAAATCCAAATGAACACCAGGGACTTCGCATGGGTGCCATGTACATGCAAGAGGGCAGGAGAGGGCAGAGGGTGTGGTGAAGGAGGCGGGAGACAGGTGTGTCTACATGTGTATTTGCGCATGTGCACGGGGGTGGGAAGGGGTAGCAGCAAGCACAAAGGACAACAGGAAATCCTCCCGGAAAAAGACAACCAAGCAAAACAGAACATTGTAACCACTTTTTATTAGCAATTATAATTCAAAGTAAGTAAAAGCTGAGAGAGATGGGAAGTTCCTACTGATCATTCAGATCTTGCCTACTTGTCAGTTCAGTTGACCCAAACCCTAGCAAGGGGAGACTCGCAGTTCAGAAAATAATCTGATTCCCTCTAAATCTACCCCACTGGCAGAAATGGTAGATTTTAAAACCATAAATAAAACAGCCAACCACAGATGAACCAATAATCATTAAAATCTGGTATCACAGCATACTGTACCAACTTCCAACAGAATGATACCACAGCTACACAGCTATGATTTGATTTCACTGTCTTTTGCAACAGCTATTGATTCAAACCCTCAGCAGAAATGCCACACTTATCAGGATTTCAGCAAGAAATGGACCAGTTAAAAGCATTTATTACTGTCTAAAGAAAAATGGCCACTAACCTTGCTGAAGAGGCTGAGTGTTTGTTGTGGGATTCTGACTAACGGGCTGAGTTGAGCTGCTGGCTGTGGTGGCAGTAACAAGTCGGACATAGTGAAACTTGCTTCCAGGCACTTGGATCTGCTGCACATTGGGCGCAGTGGCCAGAGGAATAATGGTCTTAAACTGTGATGTGCTCACGCCTCCCACAGTGATGGTCTGCACAGTCGACTTCACCGCCTGTTCAACAACACAACGTGGCATCGTTAATCTGGGTTAGGCTATCCTGGTCCTTTAAACTTAAGACAGGCGTTCAAGTGATAAAGTATGCTCCTACAAGTCGTCAAAAGCCATCAAAAAAACAGCCTGTTCAAAGAGAAGAGAATGGAAATGAACAAGGAGGGAAGCCGAAATCAATGCATTCTTCCTTCTGTTTCCAGCTGTAACATCCTCGGTAGCCCGGGTTACATGACTTGCTACAAAGAAAGTATTACTTAATTTGCAAGAACTTACAGTTTTGTAAATATCAGATAAAATCTATAAGGATTTTTTTAAACCCACAGAATTCAGTCGCATATTCAATACAGAGAAAAGACGGTACAAATAGGTGTCATCGTTACCTACCAAATTAACTGTGACAAAGTGTGTATCCTCAGGTTCTAAAGAAGCCGAAGGAAAAGCCCATCTTATGCCCATGTTGGCTTATGATACTCACCAGGCACAGGTACTCCCACGCAGGGGCAAGAAGGTAAGTTCCATCAGAAGCCTCTGCAAGAAAAACTAAGTCGTTTTGGGTGGGCCAGGTCTGAGTTAATTCAATCTTTTTTTTTTTTTTTTTTTTTTGAGTCAGAGTCTCACTATCTCCCAGGCTAGAGTGTAGTGGCACCATCACAACTACCACAGCCTTGACCTGCTGGGCTCAGATGATCCTTCCACCTCAGCCTTCCAAGTAGCAGGAACCACAGGCGTGAACCACACCTGGAAAATTTTATTTATTTATTTATTGTAGAGTCGAGGTCTCGCGAAGTTGCTCAGGCTGGTCTCAGGCAATCTTCTGCCTCCGCCTCCCAAAGTGCTAGGATTACAAGGCGTGAGCCACTATGGCCAGTCAATTCAATCATTTCCTTAATTATTGTAAAAATTAAGGATTAATATTAATCCTTTCCTTCAGTCTGACAAAGCAACGAGGTGTCCCAAGACTCATCACGGGCAGAAGCAGAGCACCCAAGTCTTCTGAGATATCCTTAGTTGATGCTTAACTGATACACACACAAGGCAAAGGCTTAAGTGAGGTTCTCTACAGTATTATTTTGTAAACAACTACACCCCTCATTCTAAAAAAAGCCCTCAGGCTAAAAGACAACTGACATATGGCAGAGGATATCTACATTTACTATGTGGATACTAATTTCTTAAAGAAGCATTCTGAAATTTGTGAACATGTTCACAGATGCCCAGGAAAAAAGCAAAAAGAATGCCATTAAATTTGCAAACTCTGCAGACAAAGGAAATGATTAGGTAGAGGTGCCAAAAAGCAGATTCAAAATAAAGAGAAGAGATAACAATAGCCACAGAAATCAGTGAATTAAATGATACAGAAAGCATACAAAGGGGATACAATGTGTAAGTATGGAAGTTACTGAAAACTCAAGCAACCTGAGACAAATACGTACAATGGTACAAGAGACACAGCCCTTGCTGTATCAGTTCAAAATGGGAAAAGTAGTACATTAAGAAATAAGATGCAGGGAGGTGCAGAGGCCATGCCCGAAACCCCAGTGCTTTGGGAGGGGAAGGATCCCTTGAGGCCAGAGTGTGAAACCAGCTTGGACAACATTGCGAGAGCCTATCTCTACTCTTATCATAGTCTTTCACCCAGGCTGGAGTACAGTGGCATGATAAACGATCCATCCGCCTCAGGCTCCTGAGTAGCTGGAACTACAGGTGTGTGACACCATGCTCAACTAATATTTTGATTTATTATAGAAGCGAGGTCTCACCGAGTTGCCCAGGCTGCTCTCAAGCTCCTGGGCAGGCAATCCTTCCATCTTGGCCTCCCAATCTGCTGGCATGAGCCACCATGCCCAGTCCCCCATGTGACTTTAAGCCCTCTGATCTGAATCTCCCCATTTCCTCTGCTCTTTCCACCACCCCAATACCCACTGTTTTCTTCTTTCTTCTTTTTTGAGACATGGTTTCGCTGTCATTTAGGCTGGAGTGCAGGAACGCGATCACAGCTCACCGAAGCCTCGGACTCCTGGGTGCAAGCAAACCTCCTGCCCCCATCTCCCAAGTAGGCAGGACAACAGGTATGCACTACCGGGCCCTGCCAATTTTTAGAATTTGTTGTGGAAACGGGGTTTTCCCATATTGCCCAGGCTGATCTCAAACTCATGGCCTCAAGTGATCCTTCTAACCCTGTCCCTCCAAAGGGCTGGGATTACAGGTGTGAGTCACCACACCCAGCCCTACCTCTGTATCTGACCCTCTGTTGTTTTTATAGATCCCACATTGAGATCATGCAGTGCTTTCTCCCAGTGTCTGGCTTGCTACGCCTGGCATAATGCCCAGAAGGCTCATTCCTGTTGTGGCAAGTGGCAGAAACTTCTTTTTAGAGGCTGAATAACATTCCACTGTGTCTACACGACAGTGTGTTTATTCACTTGTCCACCTGTGGACAGTGAGGCTGTTTCGCATGTCAGCCATTGCGAATGCTGCTGCTGTGAACATGGGGTGCAGACACCCTCACAAGATGATGATATTATGTCCCTAGGGCATATTCCTAGAAGAGAGAGTGTGGGGCACGGGGCAGCTCTGTGTTGTTTCTACTGAAACCTCCACAACATCCTCTGTGATGATCACACCAACCTCCAGTACCCTGTACCCCGTTGGTGTCCAAGGACTCTCTTTCCATACCTGTGCCTGCACCTGCTTTTCGGTAACAGCTATCCTGATGGGCACAAGGCATCTCCAGTGGTGTTGATTTCCGTCTCCCTGATGACTGATGATGTCAACCACCTGTTCATACATCTGCTGGCAACTTTTAGGTTTTCTTTGAAGAAATGTCTACTCAGGTCCTTTGCTTACTGTTTATTTTGGTTGTTTTTCTACTATTGAGTTGTACATGTGGTTTTTTTGAATGGGGTCTCACTCTGTGGCCCAGGCTGGAGTGCAGTGACACAATCACAGCTACTGCAGCCTCAACCTTCTGGGCTCAGGCAATCCTTCCACTTCAGCCTCCTGAATAGCTGGAACTACAGGTGTACACCACCACTCCCAGCTAATTTTTAAATTTTTTGTAGATATGCGGTTTCACTATGTTGCCCAAGCTGGTATCAAACTTCTGGGCTCAATCAATTCTCTGACCTTGGCCTCTCAAAGACCTGTGATTACAGGCGTGAGTCACCACACTCAGTCTGTAGGAGTCTGTCATAATTTTTGGATATTGACCACTTTTCAGATATACACTTTGCAAATATTTTTCCTAGTCTACAAGCTGTCATTTCATCTTGCTCTTTCCTTTGCACAAACTGCTTAGTTTCAAGAAGTCCCATTTGTTTATCTTTCCTTTTATAGCCTGAGCTTCTGGTATAGTATCCAAAAACTCATGCCACGGCCATTCTCAGGAAGCTTCTCCCCTGGGTCCTCGTCCAGGAGCTGCACGACCTTAGGTCTTACATTAAGTGTTCTATTCATTCTGAGTTGATTTCTGTATATGGTATAAAGTAAGGGTCCAGCCTCTCCCTTTGTATATGGAAACTGGTTTCCTCAGCACCACATATTGAAGGGACTATCTTTTCCCCGTCGTGTTCTCTTGGTGAACTTGTCAAGTATTAGGTGACTGTATGTTTGGACTTATCTCTGGGCTCTATATGCTGTTCCACTGGTTTTTGTGTTGGTTTTTCTTCGGGTGCCATACTGTTTTGATTACTACAACTTCGTAAAATAATTTTAAATCAGGACATGTGATGCCTCCCAACTTTAACTCAGAATTGTTTTGGCCACTGGGGGTCATCTGTGGCTCTTTATGAATTTCAGGACTGTTTTTTCAATTTCTGAAAAGAATGCTACTCAGCTCTTGATAGGGACTGTGTCGAGTCTGCATATTGCTTTGGGTAGTATAAACATTTTAACAATATTAATTATTTCAATTCATGAGCACAAGATATCTTTCCATTTGTTTGTGCCTTCTTTAATTTCTTTCCCCAGTATTCCTTTTTCCATCTCTTTACGTTCTACTTTTCTGTACTTTAAGCCACAAATCTTATAAGCTGAATATAATTGGGTCTTAAAAAAATCAGATCAAATGATACTGTAAATCAGTATATAAGTCTGCTTACACTTAACGCAGCCACTTAAATATCTGGATTCACGGCAATCACTGCATGGCTTCCCACTTAAACCACCTGGCCTCCTGTGTTGCATTTTGTCTCATTTCTTGCTTTCTTCTGAGTTAAGCATTTTATGACTTCTTTTTCCTTTCTTAGCTTATTATCTATATATCATGTTACTGTTCTTTTAGTAGTTACCCTAGCGATGACAATATACAATGTAGGAATATAAATTAGCACTTATGGTTGGGCACGATGGCTCATGCCTATCGTCCCAGCACTCTCGGAGGCCAAGGCAGGAGGATCACTTGAGCCCAGGGATTTGAGGCCAGCCTGGCAACATCATGAGACCTTGTTTCTATTCTTGCCCTTTCCATCCTTCCCACACCCCCGTGCTTCCCTGGGATCATTTTCCTTCTGCCTGAAGGATTCCTTATGTGCAGGCCAACTGACACTGATGAAAAAAATCTCTCCATGTAATTCTCAAAACATATCTAGGCTGAGCATGGTGGCTCCTGCCTGTAGTACCAACACTTTGGGAGGCCAAGGCGGGAGGATCACCTGATGCCAGGAGTTTGAGATCAGCCTATGCAACACAGCAAGACCCCATCACTACAAAAAATTTTTTTAAAAAATTAGCTGGGTGTGGTGGTGCACGCCTGAGTCCCAGCTATTCAAGAGGCTGAGGCAAAAGGATCACCTAGGCCTAGGAGGTCAGGGCTGCAGTGTTGAGATGGTGCCACTGCTCCCTAGCCTGGGTGATGACAGAGTGAGACCCTGACTCACCAACAACAACAACAAAAATATCTAATCTTTTCTTTATCTGTAGCTAGTAAGTTGAGTTCTTAATCTCAGTTTTAAGTCTGAAAATTATTCAACTGGCCAGGCATGGTGGTTCAGCCTGTAATC